ACTCAATTAAATCATATAATAAATGAGAAGATTGATCAAAAACAAATTCAAGGTTAGTGATTAATCGATAAATGAATTAATCTCGAAATCCTTAAGTTCTAATAATTATTGTTAAAAGTATTAATATCGGAATACTCAGATTAAACTTAAGAAAATACCTAATAACTCTCCAAAAGAGTTATATTCAGGTTCTTTTTACCTAGGTTAAGTTTAAACTTTAACATTATTAGGAACATATTAGGACCATTTGTACATGTTTTTACATCATTTGCACCATGGGAGTTAATTGATGGACTGTAGGTTTATTTTGACTTTTTTATGTTGAAAATCGGTACGCTGATGTTGTGACATTGCTCTATGCTATAGGTGATGTTGTAACGCGATGCTGCGTCGAATCGCTCTGTAAACTGACAGCAATTACTGAGTTATTAGGTGGTTATAGAATTTTCTAGAATTGTGACAATTGTTAGAGTATCTGTCAATAGGCTAAAATATCTTGATATTTGTGGGCTATTCTTATTAGTTGAAAGATTGACTATTTTGACATATATAAAGATGATGAAGTCATACTTTTCAAAATCATTCTTCTTCAAGAATTAATTTCTTCCACATTTTATCATCCAATCCATGGTCGCCTAAACCCTTCGTAAGAATGTGTAACTGCAGTTAGGGAGCTACCGTGTAGCAGCGACAATCAAGTGGATTCTACTTTCGTAAATACCGATGTTATACATAAGTAGCATACAAAATCAATGATTTCTATCTCTAAAAATAACCAAGATTGACATATATAAAGATATTTCTATTTCTAAAATATTAAATGAAGTTCTAACACATAAAAATATCGTTTCAAGCAAAAATCATAAAACAAACATTTCATCAAACACCTTATGTTCAAATCCAAACTTCACCATAAAAAATCATTCAAACTTAATAAAGTTCTTCCCTTTTTTAAGTAAAAGTACTATAGAAAATTTGAACCCCAAATGATCACCGTTGTTATGACAGCGTTGCTGCTCCAACTGTTGATACACTCTCTGGCAGATTCAAACTTCCATGTCCGATGGAGAAAAGAAGAAAATAAAAATAAAATGAAGAAATATTGAAGATTGGTGTGAAAAGTATGAAGAGAGACTTTAATTATAATCCTCAAAGGTCAAAACATCCACTAATAAGAAAAATATTATTTTTCCTATATTTTCAGCCATTTTACAGTTGTATTGGGCATCTGTCCGATTCTAGAATTTTATTTTAATTGTTGCTAAGTTATCAGTTACTGTAAAATCAACTCAGCAATCCAATACACCAACGTCTCACAGCAAAATATACATCATCAATAATGTCACAACATCAGCGTATCACATTACAACAAAATATCTTAAAATAGCTTAAAAGATATAAACTCACTCCAAATGTGCAAATGATGTAAAATATGATAAAATAAACCTAAAATGATCAAAATGATGCTAAAGTTCAAGCTTAACCTAGGTAAAAAGATCCTAAAAGATAACTCTTTTGAAGAGTTATCAGATGCCCCAAGACTCTCAGGAGTGAGCTATACAAATGTACGTTTCTAAAACAGTGTTGGATTTCACCATAGTTACCCAAGGGCATTATAGGTAGGCTAGAGAGGTGTGTGTCCCGAGATGTAGAGCCTCCGACCACACCATGATAACTACCTCGGCTTTGCATGATAGTATTCTCATATGTTTATGCTTACGCCTACTAGCATGCTCATGTAGTGAATGAACGTAATATAGTACAATTGTTAGTGTGGAACCGAGCTTGTGAGCTCAGAGTTCAGAATGTGTTTCTATGCACAGATTCTTAAAAGAATTCTTGAGGAGCTTATCGGCAGCCAACTTCTATATTGTATTATTTATAGACCCTAGTTGTACTAAGTTGTAACTATTTGAAATATTTTACTTCTTTTTTAAATTTTTCTCTCATTCATTACAATATGTTATATATTATATGTTGCATTTTGAAACCAGTCAGTGCTCCTAACTTGGTGATTTGAGTGTTGGCTTATTATCCAACCTTGCCTAGGTTCGATGGAGACACATGTCACCATATGATTAGGTGGAAAATAAAATAATTAAATCAGGACTAAATTGATAGAATATATAAATATTAATGACTAAATGTATAATTATGCCTTTTATTTAACTTCCACGTCATCATTTCCGTCAACCATTAACGGTTAGTGGTTTGATTGAACATATTTTAATAGTTAAGTGGTCTGAATGATAAAATTGAAAGATCAATAGAAAAAGTAAAAGGACTACATAGTTAACTGCTCAATGCTATAGTTTACCCAAAACATTATAAATTGTTTATGTCTTTTCTTTTCACATGGCGTAGGATTCCGTGTCGCCCGTGAGTCTTCTCCGATTTTTCCCACCCCTACTATATATTTATTTAATGTTATCGAATAAAATTATTATTATTTTACACAATTTGTTACTCCGTGTATAAACGTGGGGGACCGGCCAAAGTTCTCATATAATGCTACAGGGAATGTTTAATTTCTAAATTAAAGTGTTTATCCGATTAATTCCTCAAATGGGGTGTTTTCTACAGTAAATTTAGGATCTTTCGGCGTCTTCAGGGTTAACTAGATTTTTGGATTGTTTATTGGGATCTCTAGGCGTCTTTAGTAGAATCCATGAAAAAATTTGGCTTTTTTACACAAATATCACCTTAACATAAATTAATTACTTGTTAAGCACTGTTTAAGAATATTTTACGGATCTAGCAAATTTTTAAATACTTTCTATAAATTTAATCATATTTTGTTAGCATTTTTTTTAATTATGTTATTATTTTTTATTTTATTTAATTATTTTATTTTTTTGCAGTTATAAAATGGAAAGTGGTCATTGAATAATTATATTCGTATTTCTCGGCTTTTAAATTTTTCTCTCGGCTTTGAATACGCTCTCAACCTGTAAACATTCACATCAATCTTCTAAACTAGAAGAATGCCGTCGCTTCAATATAGATATCCACGTGTAACTGCAAAAAAATAAAATAATTAAATAAAATAATAAAAAATTAAATAATACAATAATTAAATAAAATACTAATAAAATATGATTAATTTTATAGAAAGTATTTAAAAATTTGCTTGATCTGTAAAATATTCTTAAACAGTGCCTAACAAGTAATTAATTTATGTTAAGGTGACATTTGTGTAAAAAGGCTAAATTTTTTCATAGAAGACGCCTAGAGATCCAAGCAAGAGTAAAAAAAAATCTGGTTCACCCTAAAGACGCCGAGAGATCTCAAATCTATCGTAGAAAATACAAACAATCCAACACCCTGAAGACGTCGGGAGATCCCACTAAAAAATCTGGTTAACCCTGAAGACGCCGAGAGATCTCAAATTTACTATAAAAAACACCCCATTTGAGGAATTAATCGAATGAACACTTTAATTTGAGAATTAAACATTCCCTATAGCATTATATGGGAACTTTGGCCCGTGGGGGACCCATGCTCGATAAACATAAAAATGAATAATTAAATGAAAGGCGGCAATTCTAACCTCACCACCACGGGAAAATTGTTGCCTCTCACAATCAATCTTTTCATAGCCATGTGTATCTTTAAGCTTGAGAGCTGACCTGCGGTGATTTGTTCACGGTTCACCCTATCTTTGCTCTCCCCGCGTTTCGCACACGAGTTTGACTTTTAGTCTTTTTTAAATCAATTGTCTAAAAAACGAATTAAATTCAAATATATTATAATTAAATTAATTAATAATTTATTGATATCATCATTTTTTTAAAAAAATAAAAAAAAGTATGGGTAATATTTTATCTCATTATTTATTTTATTTATCGACAAGGGTTAATTTAAATAGTGAGTAATTTAATATGGTTTAAATAAAATTTTAAATTCGAATTTCAATATATATATGTAATTCATAAAGAAAAATTCACCAATCATGATAAAATCTTGAAGGTGGACAATAAAAAATATTTATTCTAACAAGGTATGTACACGTGTTGGGAGATTATTGAACAAGTATTGGTTGGAGGGGAGGAGAAGAAAACGGTATGTTTGTTTTGTGGCGCCCACTTTAGTCATCTATAACTGCTACCTTGCAAGACGGCACCTAGAGAAAGCAATTTTATTTGAAAATTCATAATATTTTAACACGAAATGTTTAAAGCATCGAATATAAAAGGACATACGATTTAATACCTTTTATATATTATTAAAATACCAAATATTAAAGTTTAGTCATGTATCCTAAGCTTTGTCTTGATCCTTGCGCAAACGAGATTCATGCCTTCACAAGGCACGTGTTTTTAAGTTGAAGAATTCAAATTAGTTAACTCACGGAATTAAGAAAATTCATTTAAATTATTAAAAGGTAGTATCATTTATCTTGTAAAATTATAACAGTATTATTTCAAAAGGTTGAAAAACTCGATACAATATCAAGTTTATGCACCTGTTGAAAATCAAATAATTTCTTATTTATGTTAATGTTGGATGTTAAATTGTTAATGAAGGACTGGGGCCTTGGTGTATAATTTTAATTGAGTAATCTCAACAGTCGAATGAAATGCTATTTTTATTTTAAAGTAACAATAATTTTTTTAATCTCGTGAATTATTTGATGAGTTCAATCAATTTAGACTATTTAAAAATGGTTCTAAGAAATAATAAGTTTTAAAGTGAGTTAAATGTATGGACAAAATTAAATGTGGTAATAAAAATATAATTATGCCTATCTACGAGGGAGAAACAAGTAAATTCATAGCAAGTATTAAAGTGATATAAATATCGAACAGCATGTTTTAAAAAGGAACATGAACTGAAAGACATGGACGTTATGGAAAAGCCCGAAGCGAGAAACTAATAATAATAATAATCACATGTTTGAAATCCCAATCAGAGGAGACAATAAAATATTGAGAGAAGCCTCTCGAAACCCCATTTATTCCTCGTTCTTTTAAAACCCGCCCTTTAATTTATGGGTCAAAACGGCGCCTCCCTTCACGCAAACTTGTAGCTTGTTGAGTCAGTACTTGAAGGAGAAAGGTAGCTTTGGGGATCTAACTTTGGGAATGACATGCAACGTTGAAACTAATGGCAACTGCTTCTATTTCTTATGATTTTCTATCTCTCTCACTTTTTGAGTTTTTGGGTTGAGGAGGAATCGTTGAATTATTATTTCGATTGTTTAAAATTATGCTTAGTTCATTTGCCTCTTTTTAAAAATGAATTACCCGTTTTGAAGTTCAAATTTTGAGGCGGTTTAATTGAATTTAGCATTTTTTTAATTTCCAGATCCACAAAATCAGATTTGTATATTGACATTTTCATATTTACAATGGCTTAAACAGTCAAAAAACATGTCCTTTAATCTCTCGGTCTCCCCCAAAAAACACTCAGTTTTGATAGGCATTAAACCATGTGCGTGATCTCTTTCAGAGTAATGATAGGGATCTAAATCATGTATACATGTTTTTTAGCACAAAATTCTGTTCAGATCCCAACAAAATCATGGTATGTTTCTTTATATATGGCTCTAGCTGTTCGGTTCTTGAAACATGAATCTCTGAACTTTAAAAGGGTATTGATTTGAAAAACAGTATGATGCATCGACGAGTTATTTATGGATATGGATATGTTGCAGGGGCACCGGAGGTTGTCCGTCCGACCATGAGTTTGTTCCCTATGGATCAGATGCCTTGTGGGAATATTGGAGGTCCGAGGAGCTTGAAATCCATGGATTTGTTCCCCCAACAAGCTGGTTTTTCCCTGCCGGACAAAGCTCCGAAAAGGGTTGATTCTGTTGTTAATAGCTGTGCTGCAATGGAGCCTCGAACTGCACCGATGACTATCTTTTACGGCGGACAAGTGATGGTGTTCAATGATTTCCCAGCGGAGAAAGCAAAGGAAATCATGCTTTTGGCTACCAAGTGCAGCTCCGGAAACAACTTCAACTTGAATCCCGAAACAAACATTACTTCTAGCATGTCTGGAAGCCTGAATGAATCCGGCATCGGAGTTCTTCCGACCTCAAATGTTGTTCCTGATCACAGGAACAATGTAACGAGACAAGAAAGCGTTCAACCTTCTCAGCAGCGACCCATTGCTGGAGGTATTCCTTATTCTCTGCTTCTGTTTTTGATAATCGAGTAGTTACTGAAGATGGAATTCTGCTTTGCAATGCATAATTACTTATTAGTTTTTGTCTATTGCAGATCTTCCAATTGCTAGAAGGGCTTCCCTTCATCGATTCCTCGAGAAGAGAAAAGATAGGTAAGCATCTAGAGAATTAATTTATACAATTCCAAGTCTGATGAATTAATTGATGTTAATATTCATATGGTTGGTTTTGCAGGATCACCTCAAAGGGTCCATACCAGCCAAGTAACTCAGCGGTGGGAACGCAACCGAAGCCCGGAAACAGCAAGCCATGGTTGGGTTTAGCAGTTGAACCACTGCAGTAGTTTAGGAATGTAGTTGATATGGAGTTTTAAGGCTTGTTTGAGTGTGGTTTCCTTTGATTTTTGTTTTGTTTTTTCCAGCAGGTTCATAATTTATGACCTCCGTTGGATCAGCTGTGTTTAACTTTTGGTTTCTAGTTGGATCTTCAGTCTATCGATGGCATTGGTGATTGCCAACGACTCTAAGGGATTAAAATTAAGATTTTAATAGATTTTTTTTTGTAATTTTATGAAAATTTGGGTTTTTTCTTAAAAATAAAATTTAATTTTAGTTTTATTTAATTTAAATAAAAATTAAAATTTTATAAACATGACACATAATTTAATAATCACACTTAAAAGTATAATATCCAAAACGATAAATGCTTACTTTTAACGAAAATCTTTTTAAATATTTAAAACAATAATAATTTTGAACCTTATTTTTACATTAAGGATAATAATTAATAATAATAATAATAATAATAATAATAATAGTAATATCATAATCAACTTAAGGGGTCTATTTTCTATACCTATACTTCACATACAGAAGCCCAAAAAAAAACTATTGCAAATTATAATAATAATTTATTTGTTGTAAAAACTATAAAGGTCTTGTTAAAAATCTGTCGGAACATTTCTTAAGTTTTTTTTTTGGACTATGACGAGGATCAATCCAATTTACTCTTTGAGAAGGTTTTTTTTAAAATAAATGCATAAATAAATAAATTTGAAGTCGTCATCGACTTTTGAGTTAGGTAGGTCGAATATCTAAAAATACTTTTTAAAATAATTTTAAGAAAAAAATAATTTTAAAAGATAAAAATTAATCTGCATATAACCAGAAATTCGTTCTGAAATGGGTTCGGGAGTCGATTTCGTGTGGGGAAGGATTAGCACCCCACATCGCCTGAAATCAGTACCTAAGCGATTATACGTCATCTAAATATTGAAATTGACAAATTCGAATATACATTTAAATTGTGATCCTTTTTGAGAAAAATATGAAGGTTGTTATTTTGCACGAACAATTCCCGGAAATACCTTCATTGTCAGTTAAGGGGCCATTTCCATGAATTCCCCATACAAAATAATATTGCCCAATATATATATATATATATATATATATATATATATATATATTAATTATATACATAAAAAATCAATTCATTCGAATATATAAAAGGTATTAATTTTGTTCGAACAATTCTTGGAAATACACTCTTTGTCAGTTAAGGCGCGTTCTATAAATTCATCGAGTAAAATAAAATTTGAAAATATTACAACTAGCGAGTAATTAACAAATATATGAATGATAGATCAAAATAATAAAGATGGTGACTTTAGGGATTTAACTATACTACCAACCAGAAGTCAAGGCAACCATTACGAATATTTTACAAACTAGACGCTTTGATTATAAATAAACCAACTTCAACCATTCCGAACTACAATGTAAAAATAAAGGAACTAAAACAATAAAACTGGAAAGTTAATGTCTCAAAAACAAATTAAATAAATAACACAACACAACACATACTATAAAAATAACATATTACAAACACTGAAAAAGTAATAAACCCATATATTTAGGACTGAAATACAAATATCCAAAATTACATGTTGGAAATCGAAATAATAAAAAATACATAGCTTATAGTGACCAAAATGAACACTCGTAAATAAAAGAGGCCAAAATCATAAACTTAGGAAAAGTTTAAATCTGGCACTACAATGCAAACTTCAGAAACCCCTTCTCACAATTTACCCCACGCGCTTAAACCTAGAACCCTAATCCCCCAAAACTATGTAATTTTGGAGGCCCTACAAATACCCTGTTATAGGGTTTTAGCCATTATTCTCTCCCCATTTTCTTCTCTAACCGTTCGACCCCCTTCCCTTTCTCTCATTTTCTTTTTTTCTTATTTATTTTCTTTTTTTTGTTAGATCGAAAACCCATCGGTGGCCACAAACCACTGTGGCCACCACCATAAACCTCCCCGACGGGGGGCCAACTACCCTTTACAACCCTTCAAAAACAAACTCCTAGCCCTTTAACCCTTAAACCAAAATGTTTGGACCTTAAAACTTCCCAAAATAAAACCTAAAACAAAAGGGTTACCTTAAACGTTCGACCAACTCCCTCGTCGCCGGTGAAGACCCTTAATCCTGAGGTAAAACTCTTTTTTTCTTATTCTAAAAAATAACCCCATTTTTTCTCTATTTTTCTCTCTGATTTTCTTCTTAAACTTCCCCCAAACATTTTATTCTTCTAGCTTTCTCTCTCTATTTTTTCAAAACTGAATCCCGAATGCTCTCCTCTTTTTTTTCTTGTTCGAACCACCCTATTTCTCGAATGGTATTGCCTGCTCGATTTATGGTCCTCATTCGCGTGTTTGGTTGAAGCTAGGATCGATGGAAAATGATTTCCCTATTTATGCATTAATTTTCCTCGATTTTTTAGGATTTTATAAATATTTTAATGGGTTTTTTCTTGATTTTTTGACTTGTTGATTAGTTGTCACTGTTAGCTAAGATGATCACGATGGAGTAGCTTGAATGGTGGCTGAAATCTACGGGAGTGAGTGACCAGAACAGCGACGGCGGTGTGATTCTTCCCCTATTGGCAACGGCTGGAAACCTTAGGGCTTCAAGGTGGGCTTGAGTTTTAGACCGGTTGGGCCAGTTGAATTGTATCTGGGCCCAATTATTGATGGGTCTGTAAAAAAAATTATAAAAAATTAATAATAATATTAAATATGAATTATAACCCGGACAAAAACGGGTATCTACAAATGCTCCTCTTTGCCTATGCTTGTGTTAACAAGAATAGAGAAAAGATAATAAGACTACACATTTTTGTCTAGTTCTGTCCTGACGTTGTCTCAAGTGAGACTGACAGATAACCTGAAGGATTTAATCATCATGCTCGAAAGACTTACTGATGGCCTAAAGGACTTACTAATTTTGGAAATAATTTATTGGGTAAGAAACTTTGGAAATCGCTTTCTCATTTTTTGAAAATCATGTGGAAATATCCTGCCCGAAGGTCTTATACATGGCCCGAAGGACTTATCATCTTGCTCGAAGGACTGACAGATGACCCGAAAAATTTAATCATCATGCTCAAAAGACTTACATATTGCCCAAAAGACTTACAAATTTGGGAAATAGTTTACTGGGTAAGAAACCTTGGAAATCGTTTTCTTACTTTTCAAAAATTTAATTTTCTGAAAATTGTAAATGAGAAACTTTGGAAATCATTTTCTCATTTTTCAAAAATCATGTGGAAACATCCTGGCCGAAGGTCTTATGGATGGCCCGAAGGACTTATCATCTTGCTCGAAAGACTGACAGATGACCCAAAGAATTTAATCATCATACTCGAAAGACTTACTGATAGCCCAAAAGACTTACTAATTTTGGAAATAATTTGCTGGGTAAGAAACTTTGGAAATATCTTTCTTACTTTTCAAAAATTTCATTTTCTGAAAATAATAAATGAGAAACTTTGGAAATCGTTTTCTCATTTTTCAAATTCATGTGAAAACATCCTACCCGAAGGTCTTACAGATGGACCGAAGAATTTATCATCTTGCTCGAAAGACTGACAGATGACCCGAAGGATTTAATCATCATGCTCAAAAGGCTTCCTGATGGCTCGAAAGACTTACCAATTTGGGAAATAGTTTAATGGGTAATAAACTTTGGAAATCACTTTCTTACTTTTCAAAAATTTTATTTTCTAAAAATACTAAATGAGAAACTTTGGAAATTGCTTTCTCATTTTTCAATTTTACGTGAAAACATCCTACCCGAAGGTGTTACAGATGGCCGAAGGACTTATCTTCTTGCTCGAAAAACTGACAGATGACCCGAATGATTTAATCATCATGCTCGAAAGACTTACGATGGCCCGAAGGACTTACTAAGTAAGAAACTTTTGCAAATCAAGCTTAGTTTTTTAACAAAAAAAAAACTATCATGTTCAGAAACCTCTGAAAAAACAGATTTAGCTTCTTTGAAAACACATTTAAAAATCATGTCTGGAAACCTCTGAAAATCATACTTAGATTCCAAAAAAATGCGTTAGCTGGGTAACCTGCCCCACTTCTAAAATGATGATTGTCATGTGCATTGGGTTTCTCAATTTTTTAGTTTCTGTCACTCTTAATGCAATTCCCTCCATTTGAGGCTTGAATTTTGATTTTTTTCTTTTCTTGAAGAATCTATAAGAAACATGTATACATGTATAACAAGATGAATGCACTTAAATATCTCTAAATATAATGAATGGATTTCTTGTATGCATAAATATTGATAAATCTTTTTCTCGCATCAAAGTGGAGACCTCAGTCTTCCTTCACTTGGTCATTTTTGCATAGAACCTATAGCAACTCGTCAGCTCAAGTTTGTAATCTTCAGAGGATCATCCTGATCTTCCTGTGGTCTTTGTTTTCCATCTTCATTTCAGAGGAAGTGTTTTCTCTCTCGAATTCTTGCTACGATCAGTAATATGATATTGTAATCCTATATGACATGGGCCTTCAAAAATGTCCCAACATTTATCATTTCCTTGCTCTAGTATTGATTTTTAACATGAACTTTATGTCTGAGAGACATGTATCAACTACCAAGACCTACTCCAAAGAGATTGCCTTATTTGAAAATGTTTTTATTCTTCTTTTTATTTCTAAAAAATTGAAAAATATCAATTAAAAGAATCTTGAAAATATTTAATCAAAAATTTTAAAATATATTACCCCTTCTAGGTTTCACAATTGACACAAATCATAAAACAAGAGTTTAATGAATATCAAATAGGCTAACTACTCTTTTAATCTTTGAAAAATCATATCCCATTGGTAAGTGTCAAAATTATTGACAAATTTAAGGTGTAGGTTGATTATGAAAAGTTAAGGTCTCTCTGGTTGGCCTTTTTATTACATCATATATGTCTCTTTGGGCGTCCACTGACTTGAAGAAGTGGTTGTTATACTCATCTTCTAGAGATACTTATTGGTTCCAAACTCTCAGTAACACCTTTTTATTACATCATATATGCCTCTTTGGGCGTCCACTGACTTGAAGAAGTGGTTGTTATGCTCATATCAAGACCTTTGTATCTCTTAT